GCGTCCACACCGAAGAGCATGTAGTGGTTGCCGCCGATCGTCGCCGTGTACGCGCCGCAGAGGTCGATGTGATACACGTCNGCGGCGTCTTTTGCGGACTCCGCCCAGAGCTCATTGCCACGAACACTCAGCCCGCGGACACGAGAAAATCCTGCGGGGCCAAGCAGTTCCTGGGCGGCCCGGCGGGATGCCTTGGCCACCTTGAGGCACCTCTGGATGGCGCTCTCGACGACGCCGTTGTACTGCTGCACTCCGGGAGGGGAGTACTCGAGCGCGATCCCCATGCCGTCACAGAACTCCTTGAAGTCGCCGCTGGTCCAGAGGGCATCGCAGTCGCAGCGGATGCACTTGATCGCGGTACCAGCCTTGTGGGCGGCATCCACGACCATGCGCTTGACGACCCCCAGCGCCTCCGACTTACGCCGCATGGCGTAGCAGGCCATCCATCCCGTGGCGGCGTCCACACCGAAGAGCATGTAGTGGTTACCACCGATCGTCGCCGTGTACGCGCCGCAGAGGTCGATGTGGAACACGTCGTTCGGCGCCCTCTTGCCGCGGTACCCGCCCCCCTGCTTCGGCACCGGTGCCCTCGTCCCACGCGCCGGCAAGCACCAGCGGCAGCTGTCCATCGTGCCCGTGAGGGTAATCCCGTGGTGCTTTACGGACAGCCTCAAAATGGGTTCGGACAAGTGGCTGGCACGGTAGTGGAACGTGTTAATATCCATGACCTTTCGTGCATTACCGACATTGAAAGGCGTCTTCTCAGGACCCAACACAGCCATAGCGCGCTCACACTCATCACTCTCCCACACATCAATCATCTTTGCCGAGTACTCCGCTACACAATCCGTCACACGGGGGGGTTCCAAGTCGGAATCCATAGCGGCTGTAAGAGCTGATGCCACAAAGGAAAACGCACTCTCACGGGGACTCTCACGCGCAACGTCCATAGAGGGCAGGGATTTGTGGGGAAGGCGGGTTGCAAAAAGGGAATCGCTCGAAGCGCCACGAATGAAACGCAGTTTTCCGTGCATCATTTGTGTACCGTTGGGGTTGATACGGACCTCATGCTTGTGAGACACCTTCCATACCGAGAAAAGGTTGAAACCACACCCGGGCACAAACAAAACCTCTGGCACCGTAACGTCCAAATCCTCCTGTTTCCCGTCGGCTCCGATTTGGTGGAACCTAAGGTCCAAACTCCCTACAGCGGCAACCTTGATAAGGGCCGAGTCTCCAATCTGTATGAACTGTTCATCCGGGCCCAAGTGGCGTACGTTGTACATTGCATCCACTTTGTTCGAAATCATTGCACTAGCTCCAGAGTCGGCCTGCCATTGTTCACTACCAATCGGATTCGGCATAGAGGGTTGGCACAAGAAAGCTTTGTCAACCGTGGGACGCCGGGTGAGACGGTCTACGACTACCCTTTTAAGCACACTTGGTACTTCAGTAGGGACAGATGCATCACACTCCGAAACGCCGAACTCTTCATCAGGACTCTCAAGCACAGCAGGCATGCGGGTTACATCATGANCGTACATTGTACATCGCATCCACTTTGTTAGTAATCATCGCACTGGCACCAGAATCGGCCTGCCATTGTTCGCTACCGATGGGCTTCGGGATGGAGGCTTGGCACAAGAAAGCTTTCTCAACCGTGGGACGGCGGGTGAGACGGGCTACGACTACCCTTTCAGGTACACTTGGTACAACTGTAGGGACAGATGCATCACACTCCGAAACGCCGAACTCTTCATTAGGACTCTCAAGCACAGCAGGCACGCGAGGTACATGATGGGTAGACACACCAGACTTCGAGACACCCAACTCTTTATCAGAACTCTCAGGTACAGCAGGTACAGCAGGCATGCGGGCAACACCCAGGGATAGACATATCAGATTCCGCACTCATGAACACGTCAGACATCGAAAAGCCAAACACTTTCTCAAAATCAATCTCAGACTTGCCTCGAGGGCACATGCTACGTGCCATGAAGAGACGCAGAGGGGATTCGCCCTAGGTTGAGCGTCGCCTGGAGCTGGAGAGGGAGAGGAGGAGGAAGGGGTCGCCTGGGGTGCGCCGTAGTACTGCTGCTGCTGCTGCTGCTGCCGCTGCTGCTGCTGCTGCGAGATGTCGAAGGTCTCCTAGGCTCGCGGTTGTTGGGCGTCCGGTCC